ATTGTATTTATAGAAAAGTGGACGTGATGGTGTACTAGTCTGTGATGTTTTAGCCGCCGTGGCTGTCTCTTTTGCTATAGCGACCAATTCTTTGATATGGGCTGTGTTAGTCGTCGGTGGGGCATTTTCATCGGTGGATTTGCCAGTTGCAAGGTAAAGAGTTATCTGAATACAAAGAAATTAGCTACTCAATTGAAAAATTCTTACGCTATAGTGAATTCAACCTTGTGAGCAATCATTTGTCGCACGGAATTCGACAACAAGCAACGGGAACTCTCATCAGTGATGGGAAACATTGTCAGAATGTCAATAGGTCTGTAAAAAGTTCCAAGGTGAATTATCATCAACAAAAAAAGAATTCAAGAATGAATAAACTCAAGGTATGGCTACTTACGGCTGAAACAGGTACTGTGCTTGGAAATTAACAACGGTAGGGGCATAGGTGAGATGGTAGTCAGCCATGGTAGTTACAACTCCGTTGATCTGTTCTAATTCCTTAGAGCTATACAACTGCTGGTTCATCTGAAACATTGCACCTATATACGATTGAGTAATGAAAAACTTACGATGAATTATCCACTAGCAAATACGTCACCAAAAGTCTGATTTTCAAAATTTTTCCTCAAATTTTTGGAGAACATTTAATACATCTGTTATTCTATAATAAATAAACATCTGAGTGCTACGACCTTAAGCAGTCTAGATTACACCTTTTGATGACGTTACTAGTATTTAAAATCATACTCTTACTCCTCAAAATACAAAAGCATACCGCTTTAATAGGTGGTTGAACAATTTGTACGATTAGAGGTAGCACATCATAGATGAGAGCTGAAGGTGAATGACGCGCAAGAAGTCCACTTTGAAGTGTTGCCAAAGTTTCCTCCGATTCGCGCCGCCTCTGACTCGCAGACTGTTCTAGTTGTGGATACTTCAATTTTGCTCTAAAATTAATCTTTATTGATTTCATAGCTGATTTAAATGAGCTATAAAATACTTTCGATGCACAATTAGACCAATAAGTAAGGCAGTTACCTAGTGTGAGTAGCTACTGCTGCATGGAGGAGCATATAAAATATGGGAATGTATTTCATAAGCACATAATCCTGTTTTTCATTAATCTAAAGTAGAAAAGGTGAATGCATAAATTCAAAACTTATTTTGAAAAACTCACCGCGAGCATGATTCTATCATAATAAATGAATGCCTCTGCACCCATTCGTATGGTTTTCATAGGAAGGTTTACACTGAGATAGTTTGCATGAAGTCCACTCACAAAGC